GACATTAACATACACTGTGTCATATCTTCCCTATGCGAAACTGAAAATTAATTCCTGGGAAAAAGGAACTAATGCCATGAGAGTCACCTTCTACGCCCTTCCCCCAAGTCACAAGTTGTCTTTGGTGTAGCTGGATTAAATTTTCTTGTGGTCCCACCCACCAAATCACACCTTTTCTTTACTGTCTTAAAGAGCCGCTAAGTTAAAACCAGACTTTAGAGAAGTATCTGTGTCCATGCTGAGTTTTGAAAACTAAAGGCAACGAAAATTTGGGACTTTGTTTTATTGTGTGAGACAAGGGACGAGGAATAAAAATGCTTTACAGCCACAGGCACCTGGACACTCTAGGGTTACTGCTTGGGCCGGACTTGTTGCATGGGTGCTCAGTAAGATTGGGATCTGGAGAGTTTGAATGCTAGGTCAACATTACAGACTCTTTATTACATTCCTCCAGCTGTTTGTGAGTAGCTTTTTCACTGTGGCCTGAATGCACTGTAACGAGACCATCAGTTCCATTCACTCAAACTGCAGGGGGGATTTTGCTGTAGTCGAATTTGGTCTAATTTTAGACCAGATCTGTCCTTGAAGAGCATATTCCAAATATGTTTTTGGTGAACCAGATAACTACAAACAAAGACATATCAGTGTTTCAGCACAGAAGCTCTGGTTGCAGAACAGACGATGGAAAAAGAGATGCTGAATCATATGTCAAATGTCTTTGTTTTTTTACCTTCAGTACGACGGGTTGTTACTCTGGCAGGAGGGGACAGCCCTTTGGAGTTGCGAGCCCTCACTGTCACATCACAGCTGGCACAAAGTTCAACTTGACAACTCCTTTCATTGGCACTGATGTTGGTGATGACACTAGAGCTAGAAATGCTGAGTTCATATCCTAGGATCTTCCCTCTAGAGATGGAAACGTTCGCCTCCTGAAATCAAAGAAATAAAAAAGCATCGCATCAGTTTTTTGATGACTGGAGGATGCAGACCAGACAAAGGAAATGATTACACAAGCCTGGGATTTAGATGGCGCTCAAAATCAACACCACAGCAAGATGAGTATGTAATACACATCATTTCTGTTCAGCTCCTCTCTTTCTTGTAAACTGAAACTGTGGTATCTGCTGACAGGTTTCACTTGTCTCTCAGTGTCTTTATGTGACATTGAAAGTTTCGGGGTGTGTGTGTGTGTGTGCGTGCGTGTGTGTGTGTGTGCATGGTCCAGAGTGGTGATTGTGTGAGTGTGAATGTCACACCTCAGAGGTGGTCAGTTGTTGACATTTAGTCTGCAGAACGTAGTAAAGCACAAAGATCAGAAAGTGTTACTATGGTTACAATGTCACATGCCCACACAGACACACAGGACGGGGAGAGGGGAATACATGTAGACCTCAAACCCTCAGACTCAAGCACACACAGCAGCGCTATGTGCTGTGTGTTTGTTGCTCTGCAGCAAACATGTTAAGGATAATAAACAGTGAAAACTGTATAAGTTTTCTAATAAGACTTACCTTCCAGTAAACTTTCATGCGTTTAAAATCAGATGCAAGCCACACATCCAGCTCTTTGGCGGGGGCTAAAACAAAAACAAACTGCAGTAAGTCACCAGGCCATATTAACTCAATTCATGCAAGAGAAGATAGTGAACTGGGTGGGTTTTCATTTCAGTAAATGAGTGCATCTGCATCAACGGTGTGATGGTTCCTTATCAGCGATGAAATGCTTTGAAATATTTTAAAAAGTGACAGACATCCATCGTGCAGCTCTGTTAAACTTTCCATCTTAACTCTGACAGTAATGAGTAGCAATTCCAAGAAACCCCGTGTTATTTTGAATCAAAGTCCTTATCTAATTAAAAAAAAGAAAATAATGCACAAACAGTGTGGTTAAAAGGTCTGTTGGTGCAAACTGTGGTTATTCATTATTAAAATTAATTCTATGAGGGTTTATTCACAAACTCTGTGATGCTTTTGGAAAGTTCTGTCTAAACCAAACTTGCTAAAGTCTTAGACAGGGGAGGGTGGTTTCCTCTACAGTAACTCTGGCAGCAGTGTGTGACCGTACGTGAGATGTTGTAACCCAGTGAGGAAGAAAAGGTCACTTCACCCTGTCATTTGTGTACAAATGTAGGAAGATGTGGTAAAATAAATGTAAATGAGGTTAGAGGGAGTGCTTTGTACATTGCCTCCTAGAAGACGCATGTGTGCTAGCGTCAACCCTATTCCAAAGTGCACTGCCAGTTATTACTTTCTTTCACTTCCAGTAATTTCTCGAAAGAAGGAAAATTTAAGTATTAATGGTAACACGCAGCAGTCACATGGTCACAATGGTTCCCTGTTGATGAGCTCAAGTGCTGTTGTAAAATGAGATTTCAGGGTCGGCCACTTGCAACTTTTTAAATGTCAGTTTCAGTTGTTTCTATTCAGCGTGTTTATATTTCCAAATACAGATACCAACCACAAAAAAGGATATCACAGCACTGCCTAGTGCAAAAATGAAAACGCCTATGAAATGATCCACTTTCACAAGAAAAGGCAACATATTGGGTCATGTTTCTCTCTAAGCTGATTTTCATTGTGCCTTTGACGTCATGATATTAATCATCTGTGGTCATTTAATGTGTGGAGTCAAAATAGCCTTCTTCAGAGGTCCAGAGAGCACGTTGCTTTCCAGAAAAATGAGGAAGAAAGACAAACTGCAATTAACGTGTTTGATGCACACACGCTCGAAGAAGGCGCGCAAGACACTCTTCACAAACGTTGCTTCACCTTTCTGTCAAAGTGACGTTCATGGAAAATGATGATCTGTCACTGCTGTACATTCATAGTTCTACATATATGTACAGAGGCCTTCATATCTTCACGCCATCAGTATTTAAAAAATGCAGCGATACTTCCCATAAAGCATCACGGTCTTCTTCACAGCCTCACCTTTCTTCCCTGTGCCCCACTATTGAACTTGTGTATAATTACACTCAATAAATATTTCCTGAAGATATTGATTAAATTAGCAATTTAAGAAAACATGCATACATCGTATTGGAAGTAGCTGCTTTTGTTCTCAGCACAGTAAGACCCATTTCAGTGGCTCAGCCAGTGGTGAGCAGATAAGTGCCTCAGAAACCGAGAGGAAGCACAATTGTATTATCTGATGGTCTGCACAGATAAAGCGCCACAGATATACTGTATGTGTACCTGATTATCAGTCTCTAGACAGAATGTGTAGTGTCAGGAAGTGCTTCATAATACGCAAAGGCAGACCTTAAAACAGCCTTCCGGAGCTGCAGGTTAACACATGAGTACTTACGTTCCTCTTGAGTCCATGCGCAAATGTTTGTGCTCCACTCACTCCACAGGCCGGTGCTGAATTTAGATCTGGCTCTGAAATGGTACAACCTATAGGGCTCCAGAGAAGAGATGGAGCAGTGGGAGGAATTCATCTGCACAACCTGTAAGTTAATAATAAATACATATTTTTCAGTTATATAACCTCATTATTGCCATATAGATACGAGTTTTGCATGTGGAAGTGATCCACGAATTAACCCATTGTATGAACACCTGAGAGAACATAAAAGGACAAATTCCAGCTTGTTTTTACGACTTTAGCATCATTGTCAATTCACTTATGCTCATATCAGTCCTGCTACTCATATATGCCTCTCGGTCTGAATCATTAACAGACTTATTTGGTCTAACTGTATATCTTCAAAGGTTCATGTGATATCTCTGACTTCTACTTTTCTCACTGAAAGTCCCTAAATTCTCAAACTCTGAAGAGTTAAAATGTCTTACTGAGTCCTGACAAGTTGTCCATGTCTGCTTTTCTGCCCTGTACTGGATCTCCAAGTGCTGAGTCCTCACAGGCTGCTCCACTTTCATGATGCACTTCCGGGAGTAGCACTCTGGCTTGCCGAGAACGGGAGTCGACGGCATCACTGTTCGGATCAACGCAAAGCGGTCACAGAAATGACAAAAACAAACATTTTGTACAGCACTAAAACAAAACAGGTTCCTAATATTTGCCATATATGTATTGTCTTGATGCATGCTCCATCCAGCGTGTAAGGAAATCCATCTGGATGTTGCGTTTTCAGTGGGAAAGGTGTTTCATCCCTCATTCATTGAATGAGTGACGAAACGTTTCCCGAGCTAAAAACGTAACATCGGGGTGAGCAGAATCATCTTTCTGGGATTCCTCTGGATTGTTATTGGCAGGGTTTGGAAAAGAGGATGGGTGATCATCAGTAACCATAAACGTCAGGATTGAAGTATAGAACAGTTTCCACTGCAGAGTTGGTGTGAAATTCTACCCACAGCATCATTACGTTGTCATACCCTTCAGTCAACCTGAAAATCTTTGCTTTTTTTTTTCTTTTTCTTCACAAGTTTCATCTCTGGAGTCATTGGTCTCCAGTTGATGGTAACTTATATGAGTCTTACCGATTTTACTGAGTGTGTAGTTAACGATGGATGATTGTGCAGAACCCAGTGGATTTTCAGTTTGAACCCACACTGAGATGAGCTCGACTGATCTGGAGACAGTGAAATTCACCGACAGCAACTCGGTTCCCTTATCGGGGACTTTGTATGGCGTTGATCCATCCGAGTGACTTCCATCGACCCCCTTCACCCTGAAAGTTTCAGTTGACAGAATAAACTGTTATTGATGTGTTTTAAAGGCAACATTGACAAGCAGAATATTTGTTTTTATAGCAGTATGGTGGTGACTCACCAAAGCGCTGAACTGTTTCGAAGATTAGTGTCCCGTCCTCTGTTCCAAATGCAGACCACAACTCCACTTTCATTCTTTACGATTTTGTAGATGCATGAAATGTTTTTAGGGCGATCTGGTAGGTCTGGAGATCAAAGAAGACAGAGAAAATACTCAACTGAGTACTGAGCGGAGAGCTAAAGCATAAACAATACTAAAAGTAGTAATTTGTCTTTTTATGTCAAGCTGCATGTGTCAGAAACAGCAACAACAACCAAAAATAGTTTATTTTCACACTTGAGTTAGCAAATCCTATATAGACTAAATAAGCAACTTATCATAGCTAACTTTGACTTTGACTTAGCTGTGCTCACTCCTTAACATGCAACCAGAGTGTACATTATGTAAAGACAAAAAAGCAGAACCAAATGACCCTTTGACAGCTTTTGTAACTTAGAAGTGCTAAACATACCCTAAAATAAAAAAGTTCTCAAGCTGAAAGACAAGTCCTGCCCTGCAGAGCATCGCTCAGGACTTTTCAGTCTATTCAACATCAATCTGTTGGCTTTTTCTAATTAGAAATAGAGAGCCTTAAATCCATGAACCTGGGATAAAAGTCTCAGTAGAGGGGACTTTCATGCTCACTGAATACTCACATCCAGCTGAGATGTCGAGTCCACAGGGGTCCAGATCTTTACGGTTCTCACAGTGACAGCTGTACGTTCTGTTCTCTGTTATGTTCACCACTTTAAAATGTATGGTTGTAGAATTCAGTGCTTTGTGTTTCTGCTTTGTGGGACCTTGGCCACTGTACATGGAACCCGTACATCTCAGGTTAAAGATGCAGAACACCTCAAAACTGGAGCCTAGCTGCACTACAGATTCAGTACTCGACCTGATGACGCAGGATTTGTCACCTGAAACAGAAAGAACAGCTTACAGACTGTAATAACATGATCATATATATATATATGTGTGTGTGTGTGTGTGTATGAAAAAAGTTATATCCCAGATGGCAGATACATTTGGGGTTAATCGGGGCTATGCCTGACACTTGGCTCATGTAAGATGGGCCAGTAAGATGGCCTTGACTAAAGACATTGACTCAGACGTCTGAGTCAATGTCTTTAGTCAAGGCCAAATTTGGCTCATAGGAACCTGCAGAAACAGCCAAACATTAACTGCTAATCTGGATTATGTCAAAATCTGATTTAACTATAATTTCAAATGTCAATCTTCACATTTGCACACAAAAACACTGTCCACATGCACACGTTCTTCTTCAGTTATCATATTAATTATCATATGTAAACTATCACATAACCACAAGGTTCACAAACGACGGACAATGGGAAAGATTCTAGATCACTACCTTTAAGACTTCTTTAAAAAACACACACCAAACAAACCCACTGATCGTGTTGCTGATATCGAACTTTTATCACCAACATATATAAAGAGAAAATAAGAGATATGTTAGAAAACTGAATCCACACATGTATCTAAGCTTACCAACGCAAAGCTGCACGGCCAGCACGGCAACGGCGGCGAAGACCGACCATAACTGCAACATTGTTGCCACGAGTCATCAGCAACTTTACAGCAGCCTAAGTGTCTCTTCCATTGCCACGGGAGCTGCTTCGCCTTAAAAAGGAGAAGTAAAAAAAATGCCTGCGATCTCTTATGCTTTCGATGCAGCGACTGTAGAGGTGGGAGGAATCAAAATAACATTATTGATTAGAAATGTTCACTTCATACAGCCAATAAGGTCGTAACTTATAAAATGTATACATTGTGAGGCATGTACCAGTGTCAGTGTAATGCCACGCATGGTTCAAGTGCAGCAGAGGACAGTATATAGTCAATAGTAGTTTAAAAACAGGAGAAACGATCCTGAAAGTCACCCAAATATCACATCTCAACATCAAATTTAACTTTTAGTTACCGTCTAAGCTGTTCGTAGCTCTAGCCGTCTTCGTATCGGATCCTAAACATCTTTATTTAGAGAGAGCGCGCGTCCACGCTGCGGTGGTAACGTGAGAGCGGAGACTCCGTGTTGGCTGGCTGCCGCCCCTGATGTGAGATAACTAAGTCCTGAAACTGGTCTACCTTTACTTTAGAAATTATCACTGAAGCCAGATAACCACAGAGGCTTCTGTGCGCACCCAGGCTGCACATCAGCACTGCCTACTTGTCTGTTTTACTAATACGTGCATCCAAGATTTAGCGAATCATTCAATCACGATTTTTATTTTTGAATTGAATTGATATTGATTGAATTGATATACCTTTATTAGTCCCACAAGGGGAAATTTTTATTTTTTATTGCAGTTATTACCAAAAGTACTAACTGTAAAGTAAAAAATATATATATACATGTTTTGGGTGGTGCATTTTGTGGTGTTTAGCATATTCAGACAGATAGACAACACGTGACAATGAGTGCATAAATGATCAGCAAAACTTTATTATGCGATAAAAGGTGCAAAGATTGATTATTATCTTATGGGGGGGATCTCTTCGAGCTGCTGTTTAGATGATGCTTGGGAACCTCCTGAAAAGAAGGACCTGCAAAAGCACAACAAGCTCTCAGAATGAGTTACATTATCAGATTTTCCATGCAGCCCAAAGTCTTTCAGTCCCTCTGTTACATCTCCATGTGGTGCAATGGGGGACTTTCCAATGTGGCATCGCATTCTTCGGAAATACAACACAAGACTCAAGATGAATGGATATGCATGTAGTGGTTAAATTGGCAAGAATAACGAGATATCTCTAACCTGGAGACTTCCTAAAAATGTAGTATGTCAGTAAAGGAGAGACTGTCGTGAACTGTTGATTTTCTTTTAAGGAAGTGAGCCGGCTCTCAGGAAGTGATAAAAACGGTATTGAACTGCAGGTGGTGCATGTATGAGTAGAAATGAAGGTTCACAAAACCCGACAGTGAGCCACCGACTGCAGAGGGAAAGCCCCAGAAGGCTTTAGCCTGGGTGTGTTTTGGAATAATTTCACCCTCATTGCTTTTCTACTCACCAAGTGTGGTGCCAGCACTTAGAAACATGCAGGGGTCGTGCCCTAATGTGTGAGTTTGACCTGATACAAGCATTTGGATTTTTCTGGATAAAGGCACTATCAAAGTTGATAACTTAACTTTGTTTTTTGCTTGATTAATTGGATGTGGTTTCATCTTTAGCTTATTAGCAAGCACAGTTTGGTTTCCAGGCTCTTTGTTTTGTGATTTTCACATACTGTTGATAGTGGATGACCATGTCCAATCAGGTCAATGTATGAGCAAGAAATTACTAAAAGCTTGCTCATAGGAAGTTTTTTTTTCTTCCTCTTGACTCTTTGTGATGCAATAGAGAACTGATATTGCAAATGAAGCTTATTCCTTCACTCTGCATACTTTAAATACATCTCTCATTCTTCCTTGCAGCCACCTTTGTGCAACCCACCTTCTTCCCAATACCGCCTCTCATCACTCAAGCCTCCATCTTCATCTCCACCACCATTGTCTAGACTCCTGGGTTGTCCTGCCCTAATCCCTATCACGGCTGGGATTCTTTCCTGCTGTGATGAACTGTCGGGGTCTAACTGCTAAATACCTCAAACTGAATTCTGTACATCAATAAATAAATAAATCATGAGGTTAATATAACTACAAGCCCTGTTAGCTAAAAGATCAGGCGACAGACTGCAGTAAGCTAAACTTCACGTATACTTTTGAGACACTAGTCTCTCAGTCTAAAGTCTAAAATCTGGACCCAGATTACAGTTTCTTTGGGTATTCTTTAACAAGCTTAATAATAAAAACAAGCTACACTAGCATCTCTGTGACACTTTACTTACAGTGTTTTGAATGCTAATGCTAAATGCTAATGTCAGCCTGCAAATTCTCCACCATCTCCACCTCATAGATGTTATGGCAGGCACAAGAACATGAAATTCATGATGCTTATCGGAGGGTCAACAAAATATTACAGTTCAATCCAGAGAAACCATGAATGTCTCTATAGTGACTGACCTTCCAGTGAGTGGGTGAGTTTTTAACTCATTCTTTAAGTATGTGGGAAACATCTTGTCTACACCTTCAATCTGTTTTACCAAAGTTAACAACAATCTACCAGATAAATGTAAAGACTAAAAGATATGACAACATCACTAAAATATAAATATATTGATGGTGGAAATAGAGGAGATGTTATTTTTTGTAAAGTTACCTGGTTTAATTCTCTTGGAAACATAAATTATTTTTTTTAACAAATTGGATAGATATGAATCGCTAAATACTAAAATTATAATTTTATGATGCTATTTACAAGCACAGTGGTACATTGGCTAGCACCATTGTTTAAATAGCAAGAAGGGTTTTGTTTCAAATCCAGGCTGGGGCCTTTCTGAGTGTGCGTTTTCTCTCCAGGTACTCCGGCTTCCTTTCACAGTAGTGATTTTAAATCGACTCCTGGGCTAACACGTCTCCATGCATTAGTCCTGCAACAGACCGATGATCCCATGAGTCCAAATTGCACAGAAGAAAGTTATTTATGCATGAGTGTGCACCACTGTTAGCATTTTTGGAGGGGTGGTGTTATATCTATTCATATATTCAGGAGACATTTTGGCCTCATGTGGCCATAACCACTCTGCCATCAGGTCACTCTGATGTTAGACATTCAGCAAACTTGATAAAGTTTTTTTTTTTGCTTTAAATTTATTTCATGAATTTGTTTTTTGACAACAATTTCAGACAGATTTTCATTCTGATCGCACAAAGTTACTGAAATCATCATTTCAAGCGATAAGGTGCTTTGATAATGCTTTCTTTGTAGTGCAGGTTTATCTTTTTTTCTTTGCGTTGTCCCCATCGTCCATGCTACAGTTGATCACTGCTGACGGCAGCAATCTGAGGGAAGTAACCGCCAAACAGTATTATCTCACCAGTACATTGAGACAAGCTGGGGTCTGCTGCGTCAGGAGTCATAATCTCATCCTGTGGCAAGTCCGGAGATGGAGAGTCTGTTTCTACTTCATCCACAGTCCCTCTATGTTGTTGTAAGAACGGAAAGCCTCTAGATATTGTGCTTGGTTCAGGAGGTTTAGGTCTCAGACGATCATTCAAAAAGCCGTGAGTACGTTCCCGAGATGAATAAGAGGAATTCACATCCACACTCAACAACAAGCCACTCAGTAATCCTTCAAACACACTTGAACAACTGCCGTCCTCCCCATTTGATGAAGTGTCCATCTGCTTCTCCTCCACTTCATTCACCTCCTCTTCTTCTGAAGTCATCATGCCAATCTGGGGTTTGTAGCCAACATGCTCGAGCCTTCTGTCAACAAGCATTTTCTCAGTATCTGACATCAGGAAAGGTGTTTTCACTGTCAGTGGTCCTGATCCAATCTGGGGCTCTTCAACATGGATGTTGGGGTAGATTTCATCCCTTTCCTCCTGGGAGATGACAGTGATGGGGGACAGTGGAGGGTCATTGTGGGTGCACGAGAATAATGGTTCGACTCCGTCGTGCTGTGGACCACAAAACAAACAAATCAAATCCATACTTAGATCTAGAGAGATAAATACAATGCAATTGTTTCAGAGTTATGTGTGTCATCAAGACAAAGTATCTAAATCTCTCAGAACGAAAGCAGGAAGTAGCATTGACTTCCTACGATAGTTCAGGCTAGCAATGTCTAGAAACTAATAGTAGGCTATTTTTAGTGTAGCTTAAAACTGGCAAATTGATTTCTTTGTTTTGCTGGCACTGGTGGAGTTGTTTCATTTGCTTGTTGTTTCTCTTTTGGTCATTAGGCTGACAGTAAGATGTAGTCTCCTTGGCTGAAAAATGAAGCCAATACGTGCCAAGGGCCAACAACTGCAGTTCCTGGACTTGGGAGCATCCGCTAAGGCTGGCCTCAGAAGTGAGTTAACACTATTAGACTCCAGTGCTACGTTACTTGGAACTAGGAATGGGAACAATGAAAAATGTGGAGATTCTAATTCCATTATCGATATCAGTTATCGATTTGATCACTTGTTGATTCTCATTGGCTCCACTTTGAGAGTCACCACAAATGCTAACAGCCTATCAAATGCATTCATGCAAATTGACTGCACGCTGTGTGAAATGTTTGTGTGTGTGGGAGGTATTTCCCCTCTTTGTTGTGATCAGTGTTGGGATTGTTACCTATTACAGCCCTACACACTAATACAAATCTCTATCCTAATGAAGATATGAACTTTCTATGATCTTTCTCTTAGCATTTAGCTAGGCCAAAAGCACAAAGCAGAGACCAAAAACGGCACAAAGAGACTAAAGTGATCGCCACAGTAATTCTACTCTTCTATTCTAATGTTATATTTTAAAGAGCATCGTGATGCTTTAAAATGCAGACTTCACAAACCAAAATGTCATGTTATAGTGGCTATATTCATCTTTTATGTACAGTGTATGGTTGATGAGCATGAATGTCATCTCAGTGGACATGCTTGCTTTGTTTACCTCCAATAGTCTGATGGCATTACTGTGTCCAGGTTTTGGCAAGTTTTCAACTAGCCAGGCAGGTCCCCAGGATATACATTTCTGTTTGATCCTAAGACAGAAAACAGTTAGATTTATTAAAACGCTACAACAAAACCTCCTTATTGTGCCTCTGAGGTACTAGACAATATAACTGATGCATGCGTGTATTACTACAGCTGTCTACTACTGCAAATCAAAATCAGTCTGTCCGCAGGTAAAACCACCAGATTGGGAAAGGGTGCTTTGACCACATTTAGTAGGCTACACGTGTTGGTTTAAGTTTCTCTTCGTGTTAAATCTGTGGCTTCTTGTTCATCTGTTCATGTTGCGGTGTGGCATTTTAATAAAGCCGACCACAATGGCATCCATCGCTGTTACTAGTAAAACAAAACTTAAGGTCCTGATGTGGTATCCTTAGAAATACTTTGGCTGTTAGGTTTTGTTTTGTGTCTGTCGGACAACAGTTGTTTCGAGCTTAATTGTTCATTTCGAGCATAAATGATTAATACCTTTCCCTCACGCATCTCCAGCACATCAGGTTGGTTATGATCGCAATGAAGATAGCAACGATGAAAACACACACAACCACCAGGCCAACTACAGGAGACAAGAAAAGAAAGACAAGTTGTAAAGGAGTTATGAAAATAATATTATTTTGATGTTAGTTGTCCTCAAAATACAAAAGGAGAGTTAAAAGCCTAAATATGTTTTAGTATTTGTGGCTATAGAATATTGACCTGGAGGAGCTGCAGGCTGAGAGGAGATCTGGCGCCCTCGCGGTCCTTCTCCTGCTGAGTTGGATGCAGTCATTTGCAGAACCACAGCTCCTTCAGGACAGTTCAACCACTCCTGCCTTGGACCAGGTGCAGACACAGTCTCTGTGTAGAGAAGCAAATGAGAGATATTTCTTTTTTAAGCAAGCACAATATTTTTAAGGTAGCCTTTAAAATATGCAGCCAAAGAAGAAGACCGGCATAATGCTGCTGTTTGAACATCAACATGTCTTCTTTTGCATGTGATGGACCATCCCTCTGTTTCTTCACTACTTCTTTGGCCTCGTCCTCTTGTAAAGATAACATATCAGTTGGGGGTTTTAGTCAGCGTCCTCCAACCTACTGTCAACAAGCATGATCATAGGATGAGTGGCCTATGTGCTGCTTGAAACCTGCTTGGCTCTGCTGAACTACTGTGGTTAAAAATGGTTCTGATGCACCAACGCTTTCTGGGAAGCGGGTGTCTGTGGATTGCTGACTGTACACTTGTAACAATGGATATTGGTGAAAATAATTTCCTGGTTTTTGGGAAAAAATACACTTCTTATGAGTAAACATTTATTTTCAGGTTCAATTACTGATGGGGAATTTGCCACCCTTGTACTTTCAGTTCCGTTGAAACACCAGTTTTGATTAGTGGTCTAGCCAGACCTTGTGTATTAAACTGATGACGTCCAAATAAGTGTTGATTGCACATAAAAATAAATAGCAATAACCACATCATTAGTCCATAGTTGACTGGTAGGCCTGTGGCTAGCTTAATTTGCCCAGCTTGAGCTTTTGTTTTAGTTTTTTACAAACAACAACACTATCAGTCATGATTTGGCCTTCCCATAACCCCAACCTTGACGTTACTGAAGCAGTGCGGGATCATCTTGATAGAGAGAGGAACAAAAGGCTGAAAACACTCAAAGAAGAGCTTTGAATGCCCTTCAAAACGCTTCGACAACTGCACCTGAAAACTACTTGCCATAAAGCTCTCTAACAGAGTTCAGGCTGTGCTGAAGAATAAAGGCAGTCATACCAATTATACAAAATCTATTTTTGCCTTCTATACTGTATTTCCATGTATGCTTGCACATGCTTTAATAAGCCACAGCACCTATCTCTCATTTTTCCAAGAAAAATGGAGAGAAATGAGGGTTGGCTCAAGACTTTTGCACATTATTGCAAAACAGAAAATGAAGGAAAAACAAGATAAATCTGTAACAAAGAGACTCTTTCACTTGTTAAGGACTGATCCTTTTTCCTCTGTTAAAGCCACAATCCCATCAAACTTTTTCTAACCAGTATTTTTCCACTCATGCATTGGTGTGTTTGTGCAGATCATTTGCAGTTAAACGTTTCTACCAAACAGAGATAGTGAACATTGAGTCAGATCATGACTGTCTCTGAGTGCAAAGATCTCACCAGTTTCCACATGACTTTCTCTTGTAAGCTGCAACTTTCAGTGCAGCGTAAGAGGATTAACTACCAATAAAAGATTTTAGCTGGCTGCAGGTTATATTTTGGCACAGTATATGAGTAATAGAGCAAAATGGCATAAGACAAAAGTAGATCACTGAAGTAATTATCTGAAATACCCCAAAGAACACTGATATTTAATATCTGCTCGTAGCACATTTGAGAGAGCAGAATGTGCGCTCTCAGGTGCTTTAAAGCTGACATTCCAAAAATAGTGCGCAAAGCAGGCTGGTTTGTAACTGTGTTTACGGATGCATTTGTGCACATAGCCACATGGCTTCCTGTTTGTGGTCAAAGCCAGTTCTAGAAAACTCTGAAGACTCTGTGAAAATGACGACAAACAACTGTTTTTTCTGTTTAAGATCTCGGCATACACAATCAATCACCAAGGTGATCTAAGATAGATACAAAATGCGTAGGACTTCAGAGAAAACTACCAAAAAGGTTTGTAACATTTCTAATGTCAGTAGAGCCACCGGCTCTCTTGTCATGTTAGACAGTGATGCTGTCCCCTCCTTTTAGCTTTTTTGAAAAAGTACTTTTTAACATAATAGCTACATAATCCACATGCAGCAGTTTAACATTTCAAATTCACGACATTACTGGAAGCGAGAGGTGAAAAACCCTGCTGATGCACTGCATCTTTGTGGGAGGGGAGTATCGATGGAATCCTGGTTGCACACTTTCCATTTTGTAACACGAGTCTTCTGCTGAGACACAATTTATGCTTACATGAATTTACTATTGCATACATAAATTTCCCACACGTGTGCGCCCACAGGAGGACTTTGTCTGACCTAGGTGGAATACAGACACAAAACGTATGGCTACATGTGCCCCATAAAAGGCAGGGCTCGTGATGTAGAAGAACAGGAAACAGCGCAAAGTTGTGGTTCCTCTAAACCTTCAGTGCAAATCAACATGTGTTTATACTGATCTGAAAAAGCAGCTGAAAAAATGTGTTAAAAAAAAGTTAGACTTTTTCTTTAAAGCAACAGCCTGCTCATATAACTAAACTTTTTCTGTCACACCAAAGCATGCAAGGTACTTATTTTGGACCCGCCTTAAAAGGATAAATAAGGTGACCCGATAATGTTTATAGACAACCTACCAATTTTCACTTACCGCTACAATAAATGTCTGTTTCTGTTTCTCAATTTATCAGTTAATATGATGTTTTTTCGTCGAATAGCTGATTGTGAAAAAATGCCCATCCCATTAATTGCCATATACAGTTTGATGCTCACTATTTAATTCTTTGTCTTTGGATTCCAGTGTTTTGCAATAGATGTTGTACTTTGTGATGAAACCCCTCTGCTGGTATACGGGCAGCTCCTCCCACTGGATCTGGATGCGTCTGGCCTCGTGGGCCAGCACAGAGAGGCTTGGACCAGAAAGTGGCTCTGAAACACACAGTGATGCAAAGACTACGTGTTGGGTACGGTAAGTGTTTCCTGAAGCCAAGGTATAGATTCACAAAATCTAGCCCATGCTTAAAAAAATCTTCAAAAATGTAGAAATAAACTTCTCTTAAAAAAAAAAAAGTGTTACTCTGTTCTTTGGAGTAGAGCAGTATGGATGATGGAGCACTGACACCTCTGGTGGTCACAGCATACAGAGAGATGTTATACCTCTCACCTGGAGCCAAACCTGAAGCAAAGCCAGAAAAAAACTACATTATATTAAAATATATTATTTATTTTGCAAATATGAAGATTAGTTCACAAACACAGACCTAAGGTATATAAAGACCATCATCTGCATTCTGTGCTTGTGCTGGTGTAATACAACAAATGGCCACAAGGGGCCACTGTTTTCTCTCATTTAAAGCCCTGGTGTCTTTATATCATTTCATAGATTTAAATTTGTATTTATGTGATGCAATATTTTGCTGTTCGTACATAGACAGCCAGATTCCCTAGTGGCTCAGTGGTGAGTCTACCTGTGATTGATGTGCTGTTTAGATCTTTGGCCAACTTTTGCCACCACAGCCCTTCTCCAGATACATTTGTCCTTTCTATCACGTAATACCGCAGTTCTTCCTCCTGTGTCGATGGGTAGTTTCCTGTTGTCCACGACCAGGAAACAAACACAGCACCATCAGCAGCAGGGCTCAATTTGATCAGAAGAGATCCAGGGACACCTGAACAGTGAAGACATTTAGTGTTCATTTTCTCCACAACTTAACCGTACTTTTGTTTTAATCTTCTGTGTGCAGTATTGCTATACCTGATTGTCTGAGAATTACATCAGCTGGTGGCGACTTTCCATATGTGGTGACCGCACTGATGCTCAGGCTGCTAACCTCTGCTGGTAGCTGAACTGAACACTGGATGCACTCGGCAGCACAGGTTTTAAGCTTCAGACCGTTATCCAGAAAGATGTCATACTCAATCACCTTGCCACTGAAATCCTCTCGTGGTAGAGGCTGGGAAAGAAATCCAGTCATCACTTAATATTTACATTTGTCATTTGCAGATTAAGTTCTTTAGGGTTGCGCATTATGTAAAAATAATTTAGCTGGTGTCTGTAAAACCTCTGATCAGAGGATGGCATTTCCTGTTTGCAATTGTCCCTTGTTTAGCATTAGCCAAGAGGCTGTTATATTTCTTTGCACTTTGCTGTGATGGATAAAAAATTAGAACTGAAATGAAATTGAAATTCTACCTGCACTCCTATATTACTCATTTTTAGTAATATAGTTTGCCAGTCTGAAATACAGTTACTTGCTTATTATCCAAAAGTTAGATTAGAGGTCTGACACCACTTTCACTTTACCGTATAAATTGAAATTACTGCTGCCAGAAGACAGGCTTTGTGTTAGATTATTCTGTGGTCAGGTATTGTGCAGGAAGTCGCTGTCAAGAGAAAGTTTTTTCTTTCATGTAAAATGCACAACACAAAGGTCTCAGCAGAAAATCAAGTGGTTGCAATTTACAAAATGATAAATAATTCCCTTTAACCAATCAGCAGTGAAAGCTTTCTGTGTTATAACCAAACTGATGCATTATAAAAAACATTTCTTGTATTTGATGGATGTTTGGGATTCATAATTGGCAACATAACAACAAAAGCCAGGGCTCATGAGTGGCCAGAACTTATTACCTTCCACAAAACAGTCACGTTCCTCTGGCTGTCTGTTCCCTGCCTCTCCACCTTCCTCCAAACTTGCAACTGCTGGGATGGACCTGAGGGGAGGGTAGACCATAAGTTGTGGGCTATGAACTAGAAACAACAAATTCTTATATCATCACATTTACATCGCATCTGTCTTATGATAAGCAAGAACAGTGAGCTTGCCTTTTCCAGGGCTTTTCTTCCTCACAGACGGGCTCCATTTGCTGCAAAGCAATGCCTTTCTGGCGGTAATACTACTTGCGTTGGTATGTGTCAGCACAGGTGCTGTGTTGCATATTTTCATCTGGAACTCATACTCAGTCAGATGTGTTAGATTATCTACCCGTATGAGATTCTTACCAAGTTCCACGCCCGCTCTCATTTCCTAAAAACATTAAGAGATTAGATCAACTTCATGCTGCCAGATAAAGGCTTTTGCTGTAAAAACCCCCCACAGTGTCGTTGGAGGAGTGAAATAGGAGTAATAAAACTTTACCCAGGAAGTGTTGTTTGTGCGCAGCATGACATGAGGTCTGAGATGAACCGAGGATTCATTGCTTTTCCATTGCAATGTGGCTGCTACGGAATTGCTCTGAAACTCTATCCGCATAATAATAGGTGCATCGGGAATCACTGCAAGACAAAGGAAACCAAATATAGTGCACGCAAATGATAGAGACAGAAACAGCTACATATTCTGTAATGGCACAGAAATTCTGGGCAATTAAAGTTTACTGAAATAGTGACAGAGCTCCTCCGAGGGCGTAGGCAAATTTCTCTTCAAAGAAATATTACACAAACAGAAAAACAGTTTGCTGATAAGAAGGTCAAATTAGTCAAACTGTGACCATAAAAAAAAAAAACTTTCTAAAAATGATACATCAGGTGATGACACATTTCTCGAGAAACCATATGACTCTAATAAAAAAAAAGAAAGAGAATGAAATTAAGAAGTGAAAAAAAATTAACACTCAATAGTGTTCAAGTATTCAAATTCAAGATCTGTGTAAGTATTGCAGAAGCACAGGTTTACCTATGTCCTTCACACGTAGGACGACTGGATCGGACTGTGATGTTCCAAAGTGGTTGGAAGCAGTGATAGTGATCAGGAATGTAGTGTTTTCATCAAACATTCTTCGTGGTATGGCGATTTTGTCAGCATCCTGGATTTGAAATAGACGTATCTGACTCCCATTTTCCCTAAAAATAAAACATTAAAAAAATCAAACCATGAGATTTGGATAAACAAGAAAATACTAAACAAAATCATAACACCATACCTGTTTACAGAAATGTTGTAGAGAGTAGGGAGGTACGTTTCCTGCCCCCTCGTCCACGAGCAGTTTATTAAGGATGAGCTCCTTGCTGTTTCACATGTTATAGTGTCAGGTTTATCTGGAGGCACTTTAAAAGCGCGTGATTGAAACAAAAAGAAAAACAGACCTTAGTTTTTACATTTGCTGGAAAATGAAAACTAGTCATTTGCTTTCTGTGTCACTTCTAAAAACAAATGTCACAGTGTAAAATATTAGCAAATGCATATTTTCAATAATTTTATACTTTCTCCTAAAAAAATGTATTTTAGTAACTAAAGTTTGAGCACGTCTGCTCCCATTCCTACAAGGTACCCATAGGTTTACCTTTCACTTTGCTTTTTTTATTTTTTATTTTGTACTGTTTGGTTAGCTTCTACAAGAAAAATTAATAAATAAATAAAAAAAACTATGTTCCAATAACCCAGCCTCCAAGTTTTGCTCAACATCAGCCGTAACAGACAGCAGTGAAAAACAAAAAAACAACAATTGTGATTTGTTTAGCTTGCTGCAAACCAAGTTTACCTACAACCCCACTGCACTTTCTTACCATTATGCCACTTTTATAGGCAGTGTTGTAAATTTGTGTCTTACTCTCTCTTTCTATTTTTTGCATTTGCACACAAATTTTCTTTTGCAGCTGCTGTAAACTGTACATACGGCCAGCTCGTAGATCCACTCCAGTGACAACTCTTTGCATACGATTACTGCAGACCGCTGTAGACAGTGGGATCCATATGCTGGGCAGATAGAATTTCACTGTAGTGCAGTTGAGTCTCTCCCATTTATCCACAGTCTTGCGATTTAGCACCATGTATATCTCGGCACTGCATGTAAAAAAAGAAAACTTTTAATTATCATTTCCTAACTGGTGGAGAGGGACAAGAAGTCTAAAAATGAATTTTCTGTTATCAAATATGAGCCAATAAAGCTGATAGCTACAAACACAGCAGGGAGATTTTCATGCATGGCAGAATACTGTGTGGCATTGTTGTGATTCCCACCTCCTATCACATTTATCGGTGTGGCAGTACACCGTCAGATTTGAGCCCATGAGAAAGAGTGGAGCTGGCTCTACAACCAGGTACCCAGTAGTGATCGCTCTTAGGCAGCCAACAGGCAGAAGAGGGAAGTCTGTCCGGAAAAGACAAATGCATGAAGTTTTCCCCACAGCATTAGTCGAGAAAGTGAATTTTAGACCATGCCAATAAATACCTTATGTATAGCAAAACCAATTTACTATAAATACCAAGTGGGTCATTACATTCATTGGCTGTAATGTGTGAGTGGGAGATCCCAAAAAAATCCTCTTTGTGCAAGAAGGAATGCCAAGAACAGACAAAGTAAAAGTGTTTTTCATGACTATGTATCTGCTAATTTAATTACTGAAACACTTGGGTTGAAGTTGTGGTAAGAGCCGAAGCAAGGGTTACAGTTCAAAACCACAAGAGCTACCAAAGTGTGATAAGGGATCTCAGTGAGCAGAAACAGAGTAATGGCGGTGTGTTTTTAAATAGTTGGAACCTGTAACACTCACAATTGATAGAAAAAGTAAGAAGTACAATAATACATCTCGAAATGACTGAGGAGACAGTCATCTCAGCTCATTTTTCTGAATCCCGAAGAACCCCTTCAGCAGCTGTAAAAACAAAGAAATGAGAAGAGAAGAAAAACAGGTTGTTTTTTTAGGGGAAAAAAAGAAAAATGACAGATTTCTTACTTCTTATTAATCACTTAAAATAAATTTCCTTTCACAAAATTATCTTCAAAGCCTACCTCAGTCATCTGCGTGCGGGAGCACTGGAGTGAGCTGCCTAACATGAGGCGGAGGAAGAGCTTTTAACTGAATGTCTCATCCTTTCCAGTGCAAGCTTGAAGCTGATAACATTAACAGAAGTACAAGCGTCACAACACCATGGCAGATAAGAGAAAACATGTTCCTGTCAATGTTCTATCCTGCTGACACAACTGAGATGAACTGAGATTAAGTATTTCCTCACGTCAAGCATGTTAACTTTCAATTCTTTCACTGCCAGCAGCCTGTTGGGACACGTTGGTTTTGGTCCCGTGGCTAACGAGCCTTATCACTACACACCGGCGGCACGCAGAACCTGAAAGACAGCACAAACTGCATTATCTCACAGGGAGAGTCTCCTAGCGATCAACCACTGTAACATGTTTCTCTGTATGTTTTTGTCTCTCAAAGACTGCACATACCATCACTTTCGACATATAGGTGAAAGATTGAGATAACGCTCACCAGAACTTCATCCTGTCTGGGTTTTCTTATCAAGATACCATCCAAAAAGGCTTTTGCTGTGAATCGATCGTCAGACGACTTGCTGTGTGAGGAGCACCTGACTAAAATGATCTCTCATGGGAGTGAAATGTCTTAAAGAGGCCAGTGACCTAGTTTTGTGGTATTCTGGCAAATGCAGAAACTTTGATCATTTTTTTTTGAGTAGTTTGTTGCCCTACTTCTGTTGCCTGTTTTTCATCACCACAACGATTCTGTTGACTTCAAACATCAGTGTTCTCAGCATCTGCTCTCATTAAACATGCTGCTGCTGGCACATAATCCGGTGGTCAACCGAGCAAGCGACACGGTGACATCAATCATTTTACTTTGAAAAGCACGCTGACAACTTGGTTATTTGAATTTGTACTTATCCTGACGCAATGAGTCAAAATGTGCTGAAGGACAGACTTACATAATCAAGGTTATAAAGTAAAAAAAAATGACATAACAGAAAACTGCTCAGTGACATAGAAATTAAACACATCCTGGATCTTAAATGTGTTTTAGAAAATTTTTAAAAGAAACTTACAGAGAACTCTTTAGAGAAATCGATTTACACTCCAACATCTTTTCTCACTGAGCCCGTTTGCTAGCGTTTGTAGTCCCGCAAAGTGCTTCAGCCTCAACTGTTTAAAAGTCTCTAGCTATCTTGGCTTTTGTGATTTTCTTTCACAAGATATTTTCCATCTGTGACTTCAAACGGTCTACAGGGAAAACCCAGAAGTTTGACGGGGTGCATGTTCGTGAGATAAAGGTGGCTTGAGGTTTAAGGCAGTTTTCAGAATTAATACTCCTTCATGTTCATGGTTCAAATTCAGAAACTCTCTGAAAGTGTTACTTTTCACAACTGACATGACAGAATTTGGTATTCTTAACACAAATACTATAAATAAAAAAATACACACATTTTTAAATGATTCAACCTTTTATTGACATTTCATTTTCTTTCACATAAACTTTATGCTCCACAACTTTTTTTAAATTTTAATAATCAACCTTTAAACTACAGTGATTTTAATAGACAGAGAGCGACAGTAAAGAGCGGCGCGTTGATTTTTTTTTTTCCAACTTCCAAACCTCAGAATAAAACCACAGTGTCAAATTTATCAAATAGCGGTCTGAATGAGAAACATACAGTTTATTCAAGCACATCGCGCTTTAACTACAAAGACAATGTGCAGAGGAAGCGACTGCAGGAAATTGCATACCAGTGATTTCTTTTAAGGAGTTTGTTTTATTTATTTTTGCACACTTGAATATTTTTGATTGCAGAAAACCCTCCTTCCTGAAAAAACTATACCCTCAAATTTGAGATCGATAAAGATACATGCAAAGAAACATGGCATTTTATGTGCCATTTATTGCTTTAACGTGGTACAGCACAGAGGCGATAAGGTTTGGGGGCCCGAGCTACTCCCAACTTGAACTCCAGACTGGGCTGCTCTCCAGCAGGTGCAGTGAATGAAAATCTCTGGAGGAGGGAGGTAAAGAACAGGAATAACTCCATCCTGGCTAGCTGTTCCCCAAGACACACGCGCTTACCTACGAATACACCAGAAGTTGAGTGATTTCATTCACAAGGACATTCACCTTAATTCACAGATTATTTTTGTAGTTCTGGGAAAACAAACCTAGCATACAAAACTTATTTTCACACATGAAGTCTGTAAAATGTTGGGAAAAGCATTTCAGGACACTGGCTAAACTTGCCATATCTCATGTGTAGCACACAACGGGACACATTACTGGAAATACTCTTCTTTATTTAGAAGAAGGGTGCCAGCACAAAAAATGCACACTTTTTGTACTAGGGACCCGGCAGGTTAAAGTTTAATGCTATGAAATTTGCATATGCATATGCACTTCAATCAGGGAAGGTCTTCAACAGATCAGAGTCTTTGTGTGAAACCTGGTGTTTTGCTTCCTATCTGAACCCTTTCTGGTGTTCCATGAAGCTATAACATTTTATAGTGCCTCATAAAACACATACGCCTAAAAAAACATGCAACTGTGTTACAGGATATGTGGAATAACTACTGACTAACCTGCAGCGAAAGGCATAAAGGCTTCTCTCTTCCTGAATTTACCATCCTGGTCCAGAAAATGTTGAGGGTTGAAGGTGTGTGGAGTTTCCCACATCGATTCATCACACAGGACCGAGTGCAGTAAAGTTATGATTATGGTACCCTAAAAAAATACAATTGAAGTAAACTGTTATTTAATGTGTTTTTAGTATTTTACTAGTTTGTTTCTAATGCAAGTTTTGAAACAAAGTTTTGGACAGAATCAAGAATTCTCAAGAATTTAGAAACTTAAAAATGGCAAAAATAATAAAATGTGCAATTGTTAATTGTGGAAAATCAGCTCATGGAAGAAGCTAATTCCTATAACTAAAGAGCAGGGCTATTAAATGGATTATTGTGTCACATTACACAATTATCCATCCATAATCTCTACAGTCTGTCCTGGGTGTACCCCGAGGCCTCCTCCTGACAGGGCATGCCTAAGACACATCATTCAGTACTACAGATCCCACAGATGCCCGAATCACCTAAACTGGCTGCTTTTGACAGGGAGGAGTAGCAATCTACTCTGAGCCCTCCTCGAATGTTGGAACTTGTCATCCTGTGCTACAATAGAGTGACATCCCATCTTTAATCCATAAAGTTTAATATGATGTTGGCCCAACCTTTGCAGCTATAACAGCTTGGACACTTCTCAGAAGACTTTCCAGAAGGTTTAAAGGTGTGTTCATGGGAATTATTGACCATTCTTCTACAAGCACATTTGTGAGGTTGGACGAGAAGGCCTGGCCTGCCATCTCTGCTCTAATTCATCACAAAGGTTTTCTATCTATAGGCCAATGTGTGCAGGCCAATCAAGTTCTTCCACACCAAACTTGCTCATCCGTGTCTTTTTGGGCTTTGCTTTGTGCACTGGTGCACAGTCATGTTGGAACATGAAGGATCCAACCTCAATGTTCTCATAATGTTGGGAGCATGAAATTGTCTAAAATTTCTTTGTATGCTAAAGCATTAAGAGTTCCTTTGAATGGAACTAAGGGGCCAAGCTTAACTCCTGAAAAACAGCCCCACACATTAATCCCCCCTCCACCAAACTTTACACTTGGCACAGTGCTGGCACCTGACACACCCAGAGAACACATCCATTGCTTTGGAGTCCAGTGGCAGCGTGTTTTATGCAGCGTGCATCTGTTGGGTTTCCTTTGCTCTTGGTGATGTCAAGATTGCAGCTGCAGCTGCTTGGCCATAAAAACCTATTCCATCAAGTTCTCTGTGCACTGCTCTTGGTCTAATCTGAAAGCCACGTGAAGTTTGGAGGTCTGTAGTGATTGATTGTTTGACTCTGCAGAAATTTGACGACCTCTGTGCACTGTGCGCCTCAGCATCCGCTGGCCCCCACTATGTGATCATGGCTGTTTTGCCGTCGTTCCCAATTGGTTCCACTTTGTTATAACACCACTAACAGTTGACTGTGGAATATTTAGTAATGAGGAAATTTCATGACTGGACCTGTTACACAGGTGACATCCTATCACGGTACCACGCTGGAATTCACTGAGCTCCTGAGAGCTCCCAGTCTTTCACAAATGTTTGTAGTAGCAGTCTGCATGCTAAGGTGCTTGATTTTATACACCTGTGGCCATGGAAGTGCCAGGAAGACCTTGATTTAGTGATTTGGATGAGTAAGTAATTACTTTTGGCAATATAATGTATTTATGTCTGGGAAGGTTGTCAGTCATCCAGGTTATGGTAATCTAAGATGCTTGGAAAGAAAAGCGACTGGACTTCTCTAAGTTTCTTGAAGGATCCTGCAACACGGGGCAGAAAACGTTCCCTCCAAGCCACAAGAGAAAGAGAAGGAGCACACAGATGTAACGAACGCTCTTAAAGCATGTGGTTATCGAATCAGCAAAGATACTGTAAAAAAGGTCAGACATCAACTAGGGAGAAACAGAAGGAAAACAGAATAGCATTGTCAGCATTGTCATCTCTTATCATCCTTTTATCAGAGAAACTCAGGAGAGTCTTTTCCAAGCATGTCATCCTAGTGTACTTCAGACCTTTGGCTCATGTGATTAGGCAGACGATCAATAGTGGGCCAGTGACCCTCTTAAGGGACATTCCTAATAGGTCTTAAATCCGGGACTCTCCACCAGAAGCTTCTCAGATGAGAGGTGAAAAATCTTCAAGAAACTTAAAGAAGTTCCTGAGATAATGTATTTTTATATTTATACGCCTCTAGAGTTGGTGTATAAATGAGGATTTCTAGTATTTTAAGTGAAATATCCAAATTCCCAGCATATTTTTGGTTTTGATTATTATTATTACATTTAATCTGTCTAAAAACATTCTTAATTATCTGATAAAAGGATAGGTCATTTCAAAAAATGACAAAAACGTCACTTGGGAAACAACATGTGGGCTGTATACCTTTGGGATTGCGTAGTTATCCAGTGTGGTGTCTTTGCTTGTCATGTGAGCAAAATTGAGGGGGATGATGTTGGCCATTCTCTGAATCTCATGAATGACAGCATCAGTATAGGGCATTTTTTCTCTGTCACTCATAGAGGGCTGTCTGGACGAACCAACCACAGCATCTATCTCAGCCTGGACTCTCTCTGCACAGTGAAAACAGGAAACAATGTGAGTCTGTGTGCAGCAAAGATGACT